CTATCTCTCCTGAGTTTCTCTTTCCTAATTTTAATTTCAGAACAGCATGAATGACCACCAAATGAGTCTCAGGACACTCAACACTGAGACAAAGACCTGAATTAAAATTTCATTGATCACCTAATCTCCATGAGACCTTCATCTTCAGACCATATTAATATTTGGGTGTTCTTTAATTATTGTCAATTGATATTTGGGGTCCAGTAGTTGCATAGGTATCTGATTATTTCCATTTTCCTAGTGCACTGTGCCCCCCAAAAGGCCCTAGTGTACCTTGAAGAAGAGTAGGATAAAGTTTCACATAAGTTTTAGACAGAGTTCCAGGGTGCTACCTGAAGCCACCCAAATTCTCTTTATTTTAGTTGCTCTGGATCTGTAGAGTGGCTGAAGTCTGAAAGCTGATTGAGGAAACATGACTTTCTATATTCAAAATTCAGTTTTGTTTTGATTCACTTAAACTAAAATTTTTCTGCTAAACTATATCAAGTAAGAACTCATTAGGATTTCTATAATATTTCACTTTTACGAAGCCTAAAATCAACCAGCCAAGGTCATAGATCTTTTCTGGTCTGATTATTTGGATTTCTTCTTTAATTTGTTATTCACTCTACCACCAATACTCTGGAGATGGAGTGATGTCACTTGACTCCTGCCATCCAAGGATCCAGTTATTTACTTTGCAGTTAGAGTTTCCAGTCCAGGCATCAGAGTTCCCACTGTGGAGTCCCACCAACAGGGAAGAGCAATCACAGAAGTTTTCAAGGATGCCAGGGCTCCTCTCACAACTTATTACTCATAGTTGTGATAAAGGTTATGCATTGAACTCATCCAGGGTGGGTGAATCTTAAAGACAAATCACAGTGCATTCCAATTTCTCTAAGCTTTTTAATCCCTTTCTAACCCTTAACCCTTGAAAGTTCAGCATTTCTATCTCACTCATGAGCACTACATTTGGGTTCCTGTTGCAGCTAAATAATTAAACAGAGCTCTTCCTAACTCCATGATATACAATTCTAAGAATATTTGTTTTAGTGAATTTGCATCTGTAAATATGGCCTGATTCAGCTTTGTTTGTTCCAACATTATCCCACACTTGATATTTATTAATAAACATGTTCCTGGATTCCTGTCTACATATATTAGAAAAATCATGTATTTTTTTGGAGTGCAGTGCACGTAGGGTTACACTTTGCAGTTCCTTTAGGGTAACTTTAGACTTGAGTCTAGAAATAATGAAGGGAGGTGGGAGTTAGCCCCAAGCAGAATCAGCATTTTCTTTCAGGGCAACTTCCTCAGGGCAGAGAATCCTCAGGCAATGTAGAGTCATCCTTAGGAGTAAAAAGACCACCTACTAGTAGCGGGAAGGAACTTCTACAAGACATAGAGCAGCTTTGTTAAACAAAGACTCATAGATCTCTCTGATCCATCTTCTCAATTTCCTCATCCATCTTGTGATGCAAGACAGAACCTGAATCTCACCTGTGACTCCTCTCTCTCCATGTCATTTTGTGTTCCACAGATGTAGAACCAGATGTGGGGATGTGGGGATTTCTATGAAGGTGATAGAAGCAGGGACTGCGGGAATCTGACAAGGTAAGGGGAAGAAATATGTGTTATCAAAATAAGTTTGGTTTTAGCCTGGGACCTTGAGAAGCTATAGAGTATTCACTCTACTCCATAACTTGTTCTGCCTGGAGGCAAGGGGGTTCCAACCTTCTTTTGCTTTTGTCATAGTCTTTTATTGTCTACTTGAGGACCCTAAGATGGTAGAGAAAATCCATAGACTGAAGCTCCCTTTTTCTTTAGTTGTTCAGAGAAGTGTAGGGCTGTGAGCTGTTAGAAGCCCAGAGACACAGTCGCTGGGTCTTGTGCACACTGGCCTGATAGAGGTGATCTGGACATGATTCCAGTGTCCACCACACTCTGCCTCTTCACCAGCAGGACCAGAGTTCAATCTACAGTTTTCACACTCATATCCTTACAATAAGCTTCTGCTCTTCTGCTGTCAATCTTACTCCCTTCATTCATTTATCAAACTGTGTAGGTTGAGTTATCACTGTAAGTCTAAAATTTAATTGCATCACTTGCCATCTTAAAAATATTTTCAATGTTTTCCATGATCCTTACTATTAATCTGTAACAGGATTTTGAGAACTGTTTTGATCATACCCACTTCTGTCTTTCAGGTCTCAGGAATGACAATTTACTTTTTGCACTAGCTGAGTGTGCAGTTCCACACCTGGCATTCAGTGGGGTTTAAGTAAACAATTGCTGGATGAATATTCAACCTAATATCCCCAACCACATTGAATTATTTAGGTTTCCTGCATATTTTGTTTATGCCTCTAGCCTTTATTAAACATTACCTGTCATGGGGATGCATTGATTCAATCTCTTGCCTTTTCAGTCTCCTTACCCAATTTTGTCCCAAATGTGCCATTTTTATATCTTTCCTTGTAGGAATCCTTTCGCATTTACACCTCTCCCTCCCCAGATATGTGTTTGTCATCCATCAAACATGCTTTCATAGCCCTCTGTCCATCTTAACTTGTATATATAATTCTCAGGAGTTCTTTCCACTCCCTTCTGAGAGTCTCTCAATGAATCTTAAGCACTGGGAAGGAAGAAACTGGTGTGTTTTCATTCATCTCAGGGCAATCCCTCAAATCACTGTGTTTTTTAATGAGTGAACAAATCAGTGAATGAAAAAGCAAACAAACAAAAATCCTGAAGTTGCTTTTGTGTAGAGAGAGCTATATGCTTTGACAAATATGTTTTACTAATGAAATGTGACCACAAAATTACAGAAAAGAAAGTCATCAATAGCCAACATGCATAGATAATGAGATCTTGCTGAGAGAATATCAGGGTCTAATGTTTTTGTTCATATGAAAAGAATGTCAGTTGCATCCTCTTTCTCATTGCTCAGTTCATGTAGGGCATAAAAGAAAACAAAATGTGCTTCCTTTTGGAAGGCAAGCTTAAATTCTCCCCCCAGTCTGAATCAGATTAAAGGTTAAAAAAAATTGTAGTCCCTAGTACTCATTTTACAGAATTTATTTATTTATTTTATTTTTTTTTTTAATTTAAAACTAGCAGGCCCAAATTTAATTTTAATATGTATCTTAACATTATCAAATAACCTCTTAGGTTAAGAGGCTTAATGAGCAATCATGAATGACATACACAAGGAGGTCTTAAATACTATATAAAAGATGTAGACTTCTGATAAGTCCTATCATTTCCAAAGTAAGTTATGCCTAGTGCAACACTGAATAAAAATATTCCTAAATCTACAAAGGACTGTTTTCATTATTTTAGAATCATATCCAATACTATAATAATTCCAGTTAATCATTATTTCCTTCATTTTGTTTTTATTATAACATGTTTGCTTAATTTACAGCAAGCAGAAAATAAGCTGGGTCTTGTTTTGATCCAAACATTGATGTTTTTAAAGGTTGTACACAATATTTGTTAAAAAGAACATATAAAAATACCTTTTAGAAGCTTCTATAAGAAAGAAAATACAAAGTTTAACCCCACAACTTTCCTCTTTGCTAGAATTGCAAACTACTGCTACAGTTTTAAATAGACTTTTTGTTGTTTAAACTATACATCCAGGAAAATCTAAAAAAATTAAAGAAACGTGCATATAAATGATTGCATAGCAGAACATGAACATTAACTGCAAACAGTAAAGAAATGAAAGTTAGAAATACTATCAAATATACAAAGGTTGTAGAATCAATCCTTTAAACACATTCCACAAACAGTATTTAAAAACCATCTCTTTTGTTCTTTACAGACTAGGCCTAGATTTCTAAAACCAAAGTTGAAGAAAATAATCCTCTAAAGGAATTGTTTCCCCACAATACTTCTTACTTCTTTCTGCAAGCAAGCAAGCAATCTGAGATTTTAAAAGATGCTAGCTTTTTATTCTGAAATGAGACTGGACATTTCAAGTCACTTTTAATTGCCTCCAAATGATCATTCAGAGAAATACTAGAAATTATAAATAGTTAATGATATTACTTCTCCATTTTTAGTCACGTATGACATTGATAATCAAAATTCAAGAGGTGGCTCTTGCTTAAAACTAACCCTTTTTCCAAAATTATTTTTAATTTCATTGCACCTCAGAATCATCTGCCTAGAATGGGAGTGTTCTCTTTCAATGTGCCTCACATTAAACAAACAGAGGTGTGAAGAGCAAGCCTCCCTCATAAAGAGGTAAGCTAAATCTGATACAAATGCACAAGATGAGGGCTCTAAGCATCAAAATTCATTCTTTTATGCTATACACGCACATACACACACACACACACCCCTACTTTGAAACAATTTACTTGCATCCAACAGCAGTAAGAAAACTAAGCAACAATGCCTCTTAAATTTTAGAGTAACTATATTAAGAACATTCTTTTCCCCTTAAAAATTATTTGTCATCATTGACCTGCTCAAATTTTAAGGGGAGCTTTTCTGATGTTTTCATGTTCCAAACCTTCATAGAAACCAGAAAGGAAAAAAAAAAAAAAAAAAAAAACAGTGAAGGCTCCATGTTTCAGTCAAAAACTTAATCTCCCTGAAAATGTTACTTAACCAAGTTGGCATCATTCCCCAAGACAGTGGGGTTAACAAAAGAACTATTCCACACTGTATCATAAATAAACTATTATCACGGGCCTAGACATCTTGACAAGACATAAAGGTCCACCCTGAACCTAAATGTGTCTGAGCAGTCAGTGTTGTACTGTGGCTACAACTTCACTTTTGTATCATTCCATCTTATTAGCAAGCTACATTTCTAGGTTAACAGTTTCTACCAAATATGGATATGAAAGTTTATTTTTAATAAGACAATGTTGCAAATTATGGTCAACCAACATCTTTCCACCAAATACTTCAAGCATAAAAAAATGAGAATCTTTACAAAAATATACAAAGACACCACAAATTGGTAGCTGCCCATAACATTAAACAAACTGGACTCTTAAGAGTGGCTTCTCAACAGCATATCATTTTAATTATAACCATTGCCTGGTACAGGGAAAACTAACAAGTGTTTTTTACGCATCATTGCAACATTGTATTCCCGATAATTTAAGTATACCAAACTATGAGTAAATGAATGATACATGCCTAAAAATTATCATGGTTTATACTATCAGTGGCCACTGGACTTAGGACTAGTCCAAGACCGTGATCTAGATTTTGACCTAGACCTAGACTGTGATCTTGACTGAGATTTGGATCTAGGTGGTTCTTTTTTCCTTGATTCCTTTTCATATCTTGAGCCAGACTTATAATGTGTTTTGGAATCTGTTTTAGAAGTGCCTCTAGTTTTGGTGTGAGATGCAGACCTAGAACGTGATTTAGCCTTCATTTCTTTCTTGGGCTGGGACTTGGACCGTAATCTTGAATTGGATTTAGATCTTGAAAAAGATCGATTTCGGTGTTTGAATCTATCATTGTCGGAATGGCTTCTGCTACGCCGTGGTCTTCCAGTCGGTCTATTTCTAGGACTATAAGATCTTCTATAGTTGTAATCAAAAGACCGACTTCTTGACCTCCTCCTTTCATAACTTCGGCTTCTAGAACGTCTGTATCTGTCATAATCATCATAGCGCGAAGAACTGTACACATTCCTCCCTTCCTTGGCTTTCATTTGATTTGGTGTCTTTCGATCTCCCTGTGCAAACTGTATTTCGATTTGACGTCCACAAATCCATTTTCTGTCCAAATTATGTAAAGCATCTTCAGCATCACGAACATCCTCAAATTGAACATAAGCAAATCCTCTTGGCCGTCGAGTGTAGAAATCAAGTGGAACATACACATCGACTATAGGACCATAACGACCAAATTCACGCAGTAAATCTTCAGACCTGGTGTCGTCGGCCACGTTCCTGACGAACAGAGACGTATTGGGGGGGCGCAGGTAGCGGGACACGACGGCGGCGCGAGTATTGGCCAGGGGCAGTAACGGGCTCAGCAAACCGTCTGCGGCTACGGCGGCGGCTCCTCAGACACAGACACAGACACACACACAGTCAGAGGACTCGGCTACGGCAACCACCCTCTTCTCGCGAGACTTCACTCCCGCCTCCACTCCCCCTTCCACCTCGGCGCAACGCCGGCCCGGCAACCCAGAATTTATTTATATGTCTTTATGCTTTTACTCAATCACTGACTGCTTATCAGGGACCAAACTTGATGCTACTTTAAAGTACTGCTAGCTAGCAGGCAAGTAATTCACGGAGTCCAGCTGTGTATTATCAAATTGGAGTTCCTATGAGACAATCAAGTTTCTTTTCCGTGATCCATCACTCCTCTAATGGGTTATCAACATAGGGTCACATGAGCTACAAAAATTTTTCTGAAGACTAGAAGGAAATTCAGAAACATGGTCAAATCTACATTATTTACTACTCGAGGTTAAATGTCACTTTTGTTAATAGCCCTAGTCTATAATACCATAATATTATCCAAAATGTATTACCTAAAATGTAATATATATGTTTATAGAAGATATTTATAAAATAATTAGATTTTTAGGTTTGGAAAATCAATTATCAAACAGAATGTGCTCAAAATAGTATTTTTAAAATTATAATGAACACATTTATGTGATCTATTTGTTATCATTGCATGGCCATGTAACATGGAAATTAACAGTATGATCTGGAAAACTAGTCATATTCAAATAAAATGGGAACAATAGTTCTGCTTACTATAAAGATTTCTGCTCAATACAAATGGTTAATTATTTATTTTGTTGTTATTAAAAGATAGCTTATGAATTTAGATACATGGATAAAGCAAAGAAAATCAAGTCTTGATTTGTTAAATTTTTTTCAACATGTAGCATGGTCCTGAGTTTGTTGTTCCTTTTTATTCACACATTTTTAATTCCCTCAATGAAGAATTTTAAAATATTGTTGCATTATACTTACACATAAGAAGAGTATGTCCTATTCACACATGCATATAACGAGTTGATTAATCCCATGAATTGACAAATGAGATTGAATAAAGCACAGTTTTGAGTAAATATAACTTTTATCTTTATCTTTAAAGTGCTGCTTGATGAGGTCATTCAAAAGGGCCATTTGACACTTTCTTCAGTAAACTCAATGTTGATCTTCAGGCATAGGTATTTGTCCAGCAGAAAGAAACTTCCTAGTAAATAATTTCTTAATGGTACTTTTCATCTGGGCATTTCTCAAGGTGTAGATCAAGGGATTTAACATGGGAGTTATCATAGTGTAGAAAACAGCAACTGCCTTATCAATAGGTAAAGTAACTGCAGGTCTCAGGTACACAAACATGGAGGGGAAAAAGAATAATACCATCACTGTGATGTGGGAGACACAGGTAGACAGGGCTTTGTGCCTACCCTCTAGGCTCTGTGTCCTCAGGGAGCACAGGATGACCACATAGGAGACCAGCAAGAGGAGGAAGATTAGCAGGCAGATGAACCCACTGTTGGCAACAACAAAGAGCCCCAGAGTGCGGGTATCAGTGCAGGCCAGATTGAGCAAAGGGCTCAGATCACACATAAAGTGTTCATTGATATTAGGGCCACAGAAGGGTAGTAGGAAGATGAAGAGGATCTGGATGGTTGCATGGAGAAAGCCTCCCATCCAGGACACGCCCACCAGCAGCATACACAGTCTCCAGTTCATGATGGTTGCATAGTGCAAGGGCTTGCAGATGGCCACATAGCGGTCATAGGCCATCACTGTAAGCAGGATGACCTCTGCACCTGAGAAGAAATGTTCTCCAAAGACTTGGGCCATGCATCCATTGAACAGGATGGTCTTCTTTTCATGGAGTGAATCCACAATCAGTTTAGGCGTATTCACAGAGGAGTAGCAGGCATCAATAAAGGAGAGATAGGCCAGGAAAAAGTACATGGGGGACCCCAACAATGAGCTGGCAGTGATGGCAACCACAATGAGCAAATTTCCTAACATAGAGATGATGTAGATGAGCAAAAACACAGCAAATATAATTTTCTGCATCTTGGGGTTTTCTGTAAGTCCTAGTAGAACAAACTCTGTCACGTTGTTCCTTTTCTCCATGTACTTCCTGTGCAACTTTATTACCTGAAAAACATGAATTCAACCTTGAATTTGTTAAACTTCTCCATGTCACAAAGAAAGAAAGCCTGGATTGTATTGTCTGTGAAATCTCATGAGTTCCACACTTGTTTCATGGATTTTGTTGAGCATAAAATATTGGTTCTGTTACCTTATAGATTACTCAGATGCCTCCTGAGTGACGATTGGGCAAGAAGCATATGCATGAGAAATTCTTATAGACATAAAAGTCAACAGGCCCTTGGAATACATGGACTCCTTTGTGGAAACCAGAAAACTAGGAGAATAAATATAAGTAAAAGATTGAACAGATTGTGGCAGTTAAGTCCCTAAGGGAGGTAGAAGATTGATGTAACAGTCATCATGGTATAGTTAACAATTTTCATCCTTATTCTTAGGAAAATGGAGACTACAGAACATAACTATGGAAATGAGTACAAGTATGACAAGAAATCTGAGGAAGGGTGAATCTGGGGCATTACCCTTGTAAATGACACTATGTGTCCTGGAAGAAGCTGCTCAAGGCTCAGTGAATAATGGAAGCCAGATCCAGGAACCCCAGGTGGCTGACTATCCATGAGAGTTGATGGAAGAATTTCAGTGCAACAGTGATGGAAATATAAGTATAAAAAGCTACTCTGAAATAATTCATAATGCTGGATGACTAAACCCAAGAGCTTCATAATAGCCAACAATAAATTACTTTGCAATATTTGTTCAGTGAATTTCATGGTACCAAGTGCTTTGCGCACACACAATTCTTTTTTTTTTTGTAGTTGTAGATGGACAGAATGCCTTTATTTTATTTATTTTTATGTGGTGCTGAGAACGGAACCCAGTGCCTCACACATGCTAGGCAATCGCTCTGCCACTGAGTTACAGTCCCAGCCCCATATGTTTCTTTTTAATACTTAGAATAACTTGTGTGGTAATACTACTTCACTACACAGATAAGGAAACAATTTGAGAGAAAAAATGATTGTAGTGGTTTAGTAATGGCAATGCTAACCAAAAGTCATTTAACTCTTCAGGTGTTCTAAATGCTTTTGCAGATGTCTACATATTTAATAATCACTTTAAGAGTAGTGGTTGCTGGCTAGAGTCATCTTATAGGTATATTTAAAATTATTTTGCCTGTAATGAAAGCACAGAGAAATTAATAATTCTGCTCTAAAGGAAGAAGCTAATAAACATAAGAGCTAAGAACAGAACTCAGGTTTTTCTTATTCTATTTATTTTTGTCCTCCAAATTTTTAGCTTTAATTTATATAACCCATATGCCCTGTTTTAGCAATGTACCAATAATTCTCTTTTGATATGACCATAATTAGTATGATTAATTAAATACCACCTGAGAGACATCTTTATATGAACTAATTTCTTCAGCAGACTCACAGACATATAATGATTCATTTGAACTCTCAAATATTAAAAAAAAATAATTGTTTCTGCATTCTTGGAGGGGTTCCTTTGTCCTCATCTGTCCCTCACATCCAATTCTCCCCTTCTCAATACTGCCATAATGTGGTTACAGATCCTGTTGGATATGTTGAAAACAACTATCACAGCATCTTGGCTTTAAATTAGTGAAAACTGATTAGAATCCTGGTTATTCAACTTGAACCTATTTTTTCCTGGCAAAGCACCCATCTGTTTCTTCTATCTATGGAATGATAGTTAAGAATATCACCTCATAAGTTGATCTGATAATTGATTATTATATGAACACACTCACAACCGTTCTAATGATACATAGAGGACTTTCCTTTATGTTTAACTGCGTGCATTCAGCAGATGTGCAGAATTAACACACTGAACAGTGAAGGAATTATCTCCAATATTACTTGTAAAGAATCTACAGAAACCTCTATTATCCATAGCCATTGATCCCAGAAAGATTTCCCATGTTTTACTTTACTCAATATCTGATGTCTTAGGCCATCTATTATTCATATTAAATCTTTTTGTGAGAAGTTCATTTAAATTTTGTTTTTGCCTGTGTGAATTATCTTAGTTAACAAAAGAGTGTCTCATGGTAAAATAGGCTTCAGTTGCTAAAGAATTTTTGCTTCATTTTTGACTCTTGAATTGTCCACTGTTAAATCAGGTTGATTGAATTTACCATCTCTTGAAAAATTAAGGTGAGGGTGAAACACCCTATAATCATACTTAAAAATGTTGAAAAGTAAAATTTCAGTACATGAAAACTAACAATATTTAGTGAACATCAGCCCTGTTGAAGAACTTACCTTAGTAATCTTAGAGGATTTTAATGATGTTTGATGGTGTTCAGAAGCACTCCCATCTTCAGAGTGACCTCCACTTAGAGTAAGAATCTTTCAATATTAAAATATAAGACACAATTGAAAGAGAGTATTCAAATAATACAATATCAAATCAACAGATACTAAGGAGTGTAAGTCCAGATCTTTCCTTCCCACATCAAACCTTGAATGTCTCACTGAAAACCCAGGGATAGAATTTGAAATTGATTCACTTGTTTCATTATGGAAAAATGATCTTCATTACCCAGGTCTGGTCTTCAGGGCAGGAGATAGAAATTTTGAAGGAATAAAATTCAAGTGGGTGCTGTCATGATGAGTCTCATTTGATGAAGTGACTACTATAGATGGTATTTCCTCTTACATTATCTGGGTATTTATGGTTTCCATAAAGTCTCTTGGACCTTGCTGGTAGCTGTGCTTTCTCTCCCAGGAATTAATTACCTTTGATGGAAAGGTTTTGTCTTAGTCTCATCCTGGAAAGACATTTTGAGAATCTCCCCCTCTTGAGTGGGGAACTGTTATGTCCTGCACTTTGGACCATAAGCCCTTGAGAGTCCCTATTCCCTCTATGAACTTGGTTTGTTTTGAAAGCTGAATGCCAAGCAGACAGCAGGACAACAGGAGTCTTGTGCGGA